AATTTTTTTTTTTTGTTTTTTTTTTTGTTTTTTTTTTTTTTTTTAAAGCTTCCCAGATGTCGCAGACAGCGTTTGACTTTTCATGCTCTAAACCATCACTTGAAAACACTCCTTCGGTCCTGACTAATAGTTCACATGGTATGTTATAATGCTCTGTACATTTCATCTTTTAGTATATCTGCCTTGGTTGCTCTGATATTGTTCATTTAAACAATAATGAAATGCATTTGCTGCTAAAGGAGACCTTAACAGTCGCATTTTATGGCATGAAGATTTAATTTCTGGTGTGCAGGAAAGCAATATAACCAGTCAAAGAAATGTTAATGTCCCAGCATATACTATCCAGCTATAACATCAGCATTGTAATAGGAATAGAGCTGCAGCTAACGATTATTTTCAAAATCGATTAGTTAGCTGATTATTAAATTCGATTAATCGGTTATATCGGATACATTTTTTTTTTTAAATGGCTCCAGTGATAGGACTATTAGTTTGTATTGTGATTGTAGTCCATCACAGGAGCAAGCTTGGAGCGGTGGAAGTAAAAAAGTGTGGTGTGCAATATAGTGAAATGAAAAGTGTAAAATTATACAGCAATGAATGCAGAATGGCACCGGCTATAGAGGAATAAAAAACCCAGCAATTGTACATTATACAGCACAATGCAGAATACCACCAGCTATAGAGGAATACAATAAATCCCAGCAATAGTACATTATAGCTGGCAGTATTCTGCATTGCGCAATATAATGTACTATTGCTGGGTTTTGTAGTCCTCTATAGCTGGTGGTATTCTGCATTGCATTGTATAATGTACTATTGCTAGGTTTTGTAGTCCTCTATAGCTAGTGGTATTTGGCATTGCACCACTGTATAATGTATTATTGCTGGGATTTGTTGTACCCTATAGCTGGTGGTATTCCGCATTGCGCTGTATAATGTATTATTGCTGGGATTTGTAGTCCTCTATACAGCGCAATGCAGAATACCACCTGCTATGTAGGAATACAACAAATCCCAGCAATACATTCCGTGTATAATGTATTGCTGGTATTTGTAGTCCTCTATAGCTGAGGTGGGGAGGAGGTGCGGCGCGCAGCTTGTGTGGAGCCGTGAACAGGGCCAACTAATCAGAGGCCGATTAATCGATGATTGAAAAAGTTGACAACTTTTTAAATAATCGATTATGTCGATTAGTTGTTGCAGCCTTCCGTCCGCCCTTCATTTTCAGCAACTTCCTGGATTCGGTCACAATGTCCGGCAATCCATGCCAGATTTATGTTGGTCCCTGGTGCTTTGCTGACAGCCTATGGTTTTCCACAGGGCTGCAGCCAATCTGCTCACCTCTTCCCCTATTTAGCGCACTCTCTCACTTGTTGCTTTTCGTTCAAGCAACAATTCTTATGTATTGCGTCGGACCCCTTGTGTTTCCTGTAATTTCCTGTGCTTTTATACCTTTTTGGATCCCTGCTTTGCGTTGATTCTCCTGTGGCTGCGATCTCCCTGTTGGCTATTCTCCCTTTGGTTGTGATCTCCCTGTTGGCTATCACCCGTTTGCTTGTGATCTCCCTGTTGGCTATTTCCTCTTTGCTTGGTTCTTGTGTTCCCATTTATTGTAGTTCCTGTGTGCTGGTCTTCTACCTTGTTTGTACATTCCCCCCTCCATCTCTGTGATCTCTTCTGTGTGCCTATACTTGGCACATTCCCCTAGTGCTATCCTTGTGCATGGCATCTGGTGCATCCTTGGCCGTGCTACGCATGTCTCCCATTGCACAGCTTTCAGTGTATTTGTGTTTGAGTCTTCCTGTACATTCCCCTGTGCATATCACCTGAAGTGCCTGTAGTTCTGGGATATGTACTTTTTCCTGCATGTACACTCTGTATCTTAGCCCTGTACTCCCACCCTCCCTTGTGTGCTTATTCACAGTACACAGCGTGAGCTGTGATTCTTGTGAGATCCTGCTTGTCCTACTAGTGGATGGCCATCGTCTCCTTCAGTGAGCTATTGCACCTGTCCTTCCTGTGCATCTCTTGTCCTTGTGGGTATACTTGTGTGTTCCCTTCTGTTACCTGCTCCCTGTGTCACGCATGTTCCTTGCGTCTTCCCTCTAGTGCCTCTTTTTTGTACCTTGGGTCCTGTTTGCTCCCTGTGTTTTGTCCAGTGTGCTGTGGTCCCTGAGCACCCACTGGCACTGTGCCTGCACGGGTGTGTCAGAGAGCCGCAACCTGGGAGCTCCCCCGCAGCTCAACATCCACAACATCAGTGGCTCTGGTGAAGACCAGGCGGCTCCTGTTGTATCTCAGACAACAGGCTCCGTAAGAGTGGTGACACTGAGTGGTGCATTTTCACAGGGCTGATTGAAATGGTACCAGTACATTGAGGAAGTACATCTTCAATAAGTAAACTTATAGATTACAAACTTTTAAGTTGATATGGTTATTAGGAGTGGGATAGAACTTTTTAAAAATCAATATAGAAATACTTCTTAATGTTTAGTTTTTGAGCATAGATACTGTCTTGGAAATGAACCTGTCATTAATCAGTTAGACAGTGGAATACAGCTGTATTGAGAAATAGACAACAGAAACACCAGTGTCAGTCATCAAGATATTTCTGCTTTATTAAAAAAACAAGTCTCCATCTATACATTAAAGCGTGACAAGATCCTGATCAAGACACCGGACTTTGGGGCTAACAGTCTTATCAGTCACGAGAAACTGTCAGCCCCATTAACAGAACAATTTATGTATTTTAGACAGTCACAATGTATACACAGTAAAAGGAGGGGGTATCGGCCTCTCCTCCTATAAAATATTAAATTAACTCCTTATCAGATACAAAATGGAACCTGGACAATACACATTTCTAATACAATACCCTTTAAGAACAATTTAATTTTGGCCTTGCTGAGGATCGAACCTGGTTACTTAGGTTTATGAAAGTTTGCACATCATTACTCTTTTTATGCATCATGATTTTGTAGGGACACCATTTCTTTTATAGAGATGTAGTATTGTATGTTCTGTTCTGAGTAGGTTAACAAACAATAAAAGATGTTTTTGGTTTTTTTTACAGAAAATAATGGCAATATGCTTGACACTAGCTATGATGAACTGTTTGGAAGTCTAGAAAAGAGAGATGAGATTGCTTCCACCTCAAGCAACAAAGAAACAGATGATGTACAAGGAGAAACAAATTTACACTTGGATTGCATTACCTTGTTTCCTCTTAAAACTAAGGCATCAACATCTAGTCCTGGAGTAGTAAAGAAACGCAACTCTGGTTCACGCAATCAAAGGAGGGGTCGAAAGTCTCAGGTTATATTGAAAATGATTGATGCCAGCGCTGATGATAGTGGGAGTGATGTGTTTAGTGAAACACCAACTGGAACAAAGAAAGATCGAGCTTTGGATAGTAGGTTCATGACAAAACCTTGTATTACAAACACTGATGTAGACTGTACAGGTCAATTCAATGTCAGCCCATTCACTGAAACAAAAGGCTGCAAGTCTTACAGCCCAAAAGCAGCTGATTGTATAACGAATAAGGATTATGAAAGTGATTCCTTTGGTAAACCAGACCATAAAAAAACTGAAACATCTAGCTTGGAGTCTCCATGTACAGCAAACAGGCTTATTAAAATGTGCAAAAATAAAGGCCGAACTAGAAGATCAAGTTGCCTTGACCTGGAATCTGAAGTTCTATCTACTAAAAAGAGTATAATCAAGGAGCTGTCCAAATCCAATCTGTCTCTCTCAAATGTTGACTCTGTGGTCACAGTTTCTGATTATGATGATTTCTTTAGTTCAAATGAAGTTAAAAGCAATCAAAGCAAATTCAGTCGATTTTCCTTGACTTTAAAGCCTCAAAGGTCACCCAGTCCTCCTCCACTGTCTTCAAACAAAAACAGGACTGGCAAAAGGAGAAGATCCACAAATGTTGTGCAGCAGGATTTGTGGCAAGCGAAGCAACGTAGGACTATACATGCATTTGTTGATTCCAATTCAAGGGCAGTAAAAAGTCCTATCCAGGAGTCTTCTATGTTTCCTACCGCTGAGAAAAAGGATGCAAGTTCTCCAAACTGTTTAATACTGAATGCAGTGGAATCTTCCTTGAAAATGACAAATAGGGTAAATAGTGCAGAAACACATTTACTGACTACAAAATCAAATGGGAGTCATGAAAGATTAGAGCACAACTCTGAGACCAGTGGTAATATGGCTTCTGAGTCAAGTCCCTCCAATGGACTGAAGAAAGATGCAAATGCAGCAATGTCTAATGGAATAAAGAAGGAAGTTGTTTTTAAAGAAGGTTTAAGTCTAACAAATGGTCTGGCCCCTGGAGAACATGGAAAGCAGATGATCAGCTTACAGCAAAGTACGTGAGCCATGTTATCTTACTCTTTGGAAATAAATGAATCTCATCTCTCACCACTTGCTGATACAGTTTTCTAGCGTTGAAAATAATGGTTCCTTTATTTTGGATGGGTAGCCACTGATAACAAAGAGACAAACCACTGCTGAAAGTATTGCAGAGGTTTCAAGAGTGGTGTTAAGTCATTAATGTTCATGAAAGTGTTTTCTTTTTGCCTCTTTCTTGTAAGTCTCGAATGTTGGTTTACTTCTTGATATTGAGAATATCTGCAACCTGTATATTTCATTATGTCACTGTCTATCCAAACCAATAATATTTTACTTGATATCTCATTTCTTTGACCATGTACCAACTGCTGCTGATTAAAGTACAGACTGGTATTGTGATCCTGTAAAGTGTTGTGGAAGTTGTACATTAGGGCTTGTCTACATCTTTGTGTGCTATATTTTAATCTCCTGCTGGTTTTGAGGAATGGGGCATTTTGCACCTGAATAATGGTGTTGTCATGCAACCTTTACGCTGCAGCATGCTGCATTTTAGATATACTTGCATAGGTTGTAATGACAGGTTTTCAGTTTTTGGCGCAAAGGTCTGAACAAACCCCTAAAGCCGGGTATACACAGTTCTATTTTGTTCGTTCAACCCGCAGGCTGAACAAAATAAAACCGATTCCGCCATAATTTCTTCCGAGCATTCATCGAGGAATCTCGCTCTATATGCATTAGGGATGCACCAGTACTGTTTTTTTGGTATCAAATATGAGTACCGATGTTTTTTCTTTTCAGTACTCGCCAATACCGAATATCGATACTGGCATCCGTGGGCGGGTCATGAATCGAAAACATCGGCTTCAATTCCCTTGTGACGCTGCCTAGCAGCAAGTGAAGCCGGCTTCCGAGCCAATCAGGAAGCCTGGAGGCGGGTCATGACGTACCACCCGGCTTCCTGAATGGCCAGGAAGCTGGCTTCATGCTCCATCATGGCACTGCCGGTCAGAGGGAGACATCCCTCTGACCGGAGGTACCGGTATTAGGGGTAAGTATCGGAGTAAAAGTGCAAATTCTCTGTATCGATACCGATACTAGTATCATTTACAGTGCATCTCTAGTTTGCATTGTATTCTGACAGAATTTTCCAACAGGCTCCTTCGATCAGCTGATCGAGGGATGCCGGGCAGAAGGGTGCAACAGTGGCAACCATGCAGCGACTTTTGGCTGGTTCATCAAGAACTGGCCGAAATTCGAAGCATTTATACCTGGCTTTAGGGAACCTTTCAGGATGGAATATGGGAGATGCCAATGCCTTTTTTGTAGTTGCAAGCACCAGGGCTGATAACATAATGCTTGCTGCTCTTAGTGAGTCACTGATTTTACTGGCATACTGGTTATCCATCAGTTGCTCACTGTAGTAGTAAAACAAGGATAACAGCGACAGTTCTATAGATTGCACCTTTCTGTCAAGAAATGCTTCCTTTAGGGCATTTCCACGCCGATCATAATTTAAAGTGGAAATTTACATAAAATATAAAAATTGTGTGAACAGACAGGCTTTTTATTGCAGAAGAGACCTATTATGTCTCTTCTGCAATACAAATTCTTACCTGACTGTTCTCAAACTTGCTGAAGATCAATGTACAGTTTTACAATTTCTGCATCTGCTGGAATGAATGTCCGTAGATCCCAAATCTGACCGGGCGAAAGCGTCGGTCTCATCAAGAGATTGGGAAAACATATACCTGCTACTGTGCTATACAGTCATATTTTAGTAATTAGATGCACGAAAGAATGAGCCTGGCTGCATGATATTTAAAAGATGTTTTTTATTGCTCTGATTCTAAAGTTAAGTTTAATTGTGTTTTTTTTAATTTGGGGTTTAAAATATACCTGTTAGTTACTGGAGGGATGAGGTTTGGTGAAACGGCAATGATGAAAGATCTGGATGTACATGATCATAAACTTGACAGCATGCACTGTCCTTATCTTAAGGGCCTGTTCACACCACTTCCAGTGCGTTCCAGCAGCAAACCATGCTGGAATGCACTGGTTCGCATGCTGTAAAGGTTCCCTGCGTTCTGGGGGTGGGAGGAGGAGTGGGAGTCCATTCAAGTCAATGGCATCTGCAACCATGCCCCCCCCCTCCTGCATCAGAACGCGTGGCACAGCAATGCCCACATTCCAGTCCAGTGGGATCGCAAAAAGTAGTACAAGCACTATTTTTTGCAATTGCACTGGACTGGAACGGGGGAGTTGCTATGCCACTCGTTCTGGTGCGAGCGATCGCACTGCGAGAGGGTGGCATGATTGTGGTGCCATTGACTTGAATGCACCGCCAGGTCCCCTCCCACCCCAGAATGCAGGGAGCATTCACAGCATGAAATCCAGTGCGTTCCTGCACGGTTAGCTGCTGTAAAGCACAAGACATGGTGTGAACAGGCCCTCAATGTACAGCCTAAGTTCTGCAGTGTACCCCAGAATTCAGGGATATCCTGTTACGTCGACATCCATAGCTGTCCTGGTTGCATTGTGGCCTAATGGTTCTTGCTCTCCTTGTGGGCCTGGTCAGGTCACCTGTTATGAGCAATAGAGTGACAGTCATTTGGAAGGGGCAGGCCACATCATGACTTTAAAATGTTTAGCTGCTGAATCCAAAATATAGCATCTAGATTTTTGAGGTAGCAGGGCACTGTAGAAATAAGAGTGATGTTTCTCCCACTTGCAAGAAACAAAAGAAATAAGTATGACATACACCTGTATTAGTAAGCTCTTAAATAAAAAGGCAGCCCTTTTTTTTTGTGTGTTTAAGGTGAATGAAAAGTCTGTGAATTTTCATTTCTTTATACAGTAAACTCCCCATTATCCGGCATTCACAGAGATTGGTGAATTCCGGATAAATGTAGTTTCTGGTTGCTTGAGAGTTACTATTAAAAAAAGGGCACACAATCTTTTCCAGGATAATACGTGCTGCAGAACAGTGAGTACACAGGATTTTTATTCTGGTTAGATGAATACCGGATAACAAGAGTTTACTGTAGTACCTCTAGTCCCGGAGGACGAAACATTTTAGTAAAGCAGGGTGGGGAAGGATGAGTGGTGCATATGTTTCTTTTTCTGTAGGTTTTATTCTGTTTATAATAAGAAAATTGTCGATTTTATAATTGTATTGACTGAAATTGTGGTATGAATGTAATATGTTAAAACAAACTGATAATGAGATTATGTATATCAGTACATATTATTATATTCTAAGCTGTGACAGAAATAGTAAAAAGCTGCTGCCCATATACAGTAAGGGAGTACAGCTGACGGCTCCTGTATGCCAGTCCAAATAGGTTTAAAATCCAGTTACTGTGATGCAAAAAAGAAAAAGTTTAACTTTCCTTGAGTCATCCAAATCCCCCTTCATTTGTGTCTCACATGCTTCACCTTTTAGACACTGCAGATCACAGTGGGAGGATTTCTAAAGCACAATCCATTCTGTCAATGCAGAGATCAGTGGGCAGGGCTATGTGTGGCCAGCTGCTGATTGACAAGCTACTGGCTCGTGAATTAGCATTGACAATCTTGATAGCCACATCCCTTCCAACATTTTGTCATCCCACTGTAGCACAAGCAGCCACATTTTACAGTCCCGAAGGTGGCCGAGTAAGAAATTAGGATCTCTGTACTCCATAAAATCTTTTTCTTGGAATCCTCTGAGGGACACAGGTCCTTCCCTTCTGTGTTTTATGACCATGCCCTCAGTACTGCTTTGCTACAAATCTGAGGCATGCTTGTTGTGGGAGAGATTATCCTGCCTCGGCTGGCCTGCAGTTTTTGTTTGCCAATGACCAATTCTTTTGTAGTTCCTGCAGTGTGGTGTGTGTATGTGTGTGATGTTCTCCCTAGAATTGTTCCTCAGCTCAGGATGGATAAAAAAAAGTCAGCGGATTTTGTTTATAAAAGTGGTTGGGTTTCAGTAAGCAATTACTGAAATATGGAAACCTTGTGCAAAATGTTATGGATTCTAAATTTTCAGTATTTATTTATTTTTTCATTGCCATCTTTCAGGCTTTCTCTTTTCTTTTAGTTTCAGCTTGTGATCCTGCCAACTTCTGCACAAGGGTGATGGTGTTCATTCACTGTTGTGTACTTGAGGAGCAGCGTTGCTACCCTAGCACAGGACTACAAAACACTCCTCTCCTCGTATTCATATGCAGGGGGGTGGTAGTTGTCATTTTGAGGTAGCAGGGGACAATGCTAAGTGAAGCAGATGCAAGAGCACAGGAAGTTAACAACTCCACAAGATTTAACATGTATTTTTTTGTACTTGACTAAAAGCCTTAACAAAACACTTTCAGTTAAATTTATAGAACATGAGAGGCAAATAAGAAAAGTTCATTGTCAGGGTATACCCTTTTAATAGTTAACATGTATATCCACCCTGAATATTGTGTGTACTGGGGGAAACACTGTTTTTTTTTGTTTTATTTTTACCATAATGGTCTAAAAAAAAAACTTAGTGACATTAAAGTCCAATATTTCCCCCGCCCCCCCAATGTTAATGTTAGCACTTAGCTTAAATGATGTCTCTTAATCCGATCTTCTTCTTTCCTGATGTTTTCATCTGTCCCTCCAGCGGTGCGGCGGCTCTCCGATCCAGCGCTGACTCATCTGTCCTTGCTGGCACTTCCTGTCCCGCGATGTCTGCATGCAAGTCCATAGACTTACCTTGTGTGTCTACTCGTCTCCCATCCGAAAATCCGAACTGCGCAGGCGCCCGCCCCAAAATGCTATGCGGCCGCCCGAGCAGTTTCGGATTTTCTGACGGGAGCACGTAGAAGACAGGGTAAGTTTTAACCGCTGTTAAAGCGGGTTTTGTTAAATTTTATAAAAAACTTTTTGCATATATCTACTGCTTGCTAGCAGTAAATATATGCAAAAAAAAACCGGAGGCTTTAGAAAACCCTTTCACCATTTTGAAAGACTACAGAAGCAAAGGAATCTTTAATAATTACTAAATCTGTA